ACAATATTTGGCCGAGATACAACTATTTGAAAATCTGGAATCTGAGGGTGTAAAAAAAATCTAAATATTGAGAAAATCATCTTTAAAGTTGTTCAAATGAAGTTCTTAGCAATGCATATTACTAATCAAAAATTAAGTTTTGATATATTTACAGTAGGAAATTTACAAAATATCTTCATGGAGCATGATCTTTACTTAATATGCTAATGATTTTTGGCATAAAAGAAAAATGTATAATTTTGACCCATACAATGTATTGTTGGCTATTGCTACAAATATACCCCAGCGACTTAACATTGCTTTTGTGCTCCAGGGTCACATATATGAAGTATGCTACCTGAGCCACTTCTTTAGCAGCAAAGAAGTTGTGATAGGTGAGGCTGACGGTGTCTGTTCCCGTCACGATGGTCAGCGCTTTGGCCAGATGATGGCTGTCAGGAAAATCCATGTTGAAGACGTTACGAACCTTTGGATGCTGAAAGAGGAAGAAAATGATAAGACATTGCTTGAGTCCCTGAACACTAAAGTGACACTTCAGACTTCTGAAAGTCACTGCATCAGATATCAAGCGAGTGACGTTTAGGAGAGAAAGCTCTAGAAACTTTAAACATCTCATGCACGAAGTCTGCTTTCCATACATGACCCATCAACAAGAACAACCCAGACCAGCAAACAAATCCGGCTTCATGCAAATGTGTGAAGGGAGAAACACGAGGTCAACGGCTGTGTGTGTGTGTGTGTGTGTGGAGAGACAAAGAAAATCACTGTATAATTCATATAACAATAGTAATATATCAAACATAACATCCTGTTTATGTTTCTAATAGCACTTAAAAATATGCATGTCAAAAATGCTCCTCAACTGTTTGGATAAAGCATCTGATAAATGCATACATGTAAAAACTTTGTGAGAAGGATGATCAGAACTGATGAGTGTGTTCATATGTTAATGCTGTATGTCAGTAGCTGATGTGATTCTCTGATCTGAACATGAGTTGGCTGTGGTTGATGTGATTGTTTCTGCTGAACGCTGCTGTTTGCAAGGCAAATTCACACAAATACTCAAATGCAACAATGAACTCAAACACTGACACTCCGTCTGTTTAGTCATGATGCAACATAAAACACATTACATAACATGGACAGGGCACATACTTTAGGGAGCTTGGCATATTTTTCCGCTCTTGTGTCCCTGATGGTGGCAATGTCCAAAAACTCTGTTTCCTGCGGGACAGAGAGACACAGGATGTGACATCACAGATAGCGCACAGAACAGGATACAGAATTTCTGTAGCTCAAACAGTAGAGTGTGAAGGTCATGGGACCAAATGTATAATTTCAAGTTGCTTTAGATAAATGCATCTGCCAAATGCATAAATGTAATGGATGAGAAGATCATAGGTGAGAAATTCTCAACAAACCGTTAAACCGAACATTATTGCAAAATAACTGCAAACAAGACCTTACAAATCACATGATGTTGTGTGCAGTGTTGTTATTGTTAACTCAAACGGAAATATAAAACTATTGCAAATTGTTTTCGTTAATTGAAATGAAACTAAAATAAAATAAATATATTAGATAAACTTGAAATTTAAAAATTTAAAAAACAAAAATTATAAAAAGTTGAAGTATTTAAACTACTAAAAGTGAAATAAATAAAAATAGATGTGTATACACACACACACACGCACGCGCACACACACATTCATACACACACACACATGCACTCGCACTCGCACGTGCGCACACACACACACACACACACATGAATTATGAATATTATGTGTGGATGATGCTACTCTCAAAACAGGCAGGGCCTTGCAAAATGAATCTAATATATTAAAATCTAAAATATATACATAATTGTTACGTTATCAAATTATGATATTTTCATCTGTTACACCAACTGACTTCCCACTGGTATTCATAACAGAACAGCAGATATTGATTGTGATTTTGTGATTGTGAATGCCAGTGTCAAACAAGGGTTATTATAGTTCACTAAAACTAAAACCATAAAACTAAAACCTTGTTACTTGAAATAAAATAAAGGTTAACTGAAATACAATAAAATATAACAAAACTTTAACATTTTATTTCAGCTAGCTGCCAAGCCGACTACTAAATAACAAACTAAAACTTTATGAAAAATAAAATAAACATGTTGGTACCTTAAAGGTTCATATTAGTACCTAAAGTGTACATCTTAGTACCTAAAAGGTACAAAATTGTACCTTTTGAAAAGGTACCGCCAGCTTTTGTACCTTTTTTTTTTCTGAGAGTGTAGAAGCAGCAGAAAAACAGTCAAATTCCTATCTTACCTTGCTCTGATTGATCCAGTACAGGTAAAATCCTTTCGGATCCATCTTCATGGTGACCGGTGTGGTTTTCTTGGAGTCCTGTGAAGAGTTTTTATTATAAAACTATAGAACATCTATAAAATATCTCTCAACATGAATATAAACATCAGAAATGGACCATAAACACAAATCTAACTGGTCAAAGAGGCCCATTTTTATTAAACACTGACAAATATTCTAAAAAAAAAAATCATTAATGTCTCATAATAATTGTCTTTTTATCAAAAAAATTGATCATTTTCAGCATTAGGACCAAAAGCACCTGTCACACAATCAAATATGAATCCACTAACTAATATTGACTAGAATGTTTATACGAGTCCTAAACATGATCCACTTACTTCTTTCCATTTTGTGAACCTGTCTCCCTTCACCAGGTACTCTTTGACATCAGGCTCCTGAAGCGTGTAGCGGTTTCGATTCATTTTGGACGGATCACCACAGTAATGTGGTCTAAAGCTTCAGTCCTGAACTCATTGTCCCCGGTGAGAATGAAGGACTTCGGGGGAACTCGGCTAAAATGAGCCGGCAGGACGTCCAGCCTTCAATATGCATTGCAAATGAGCGGACCCACCCTGCTCAGGTTTACACCGTTTCTGTGTGCTAGCATCTCAAAAATCAAATAATATAGTAGCACAGGATATAAGATCCAGAACGGATTTAAAGAAGGAGCGAATACACATATTTAGGCCTGAATTTAAGATGTATATATCTGAATTGCGTATAAATTTCCATCTGTTTGGATTCCACACTATTAACATAAACAAACTAATACATTTTGTGATGCATATTTGTCAGTCATACACTAATAAAACGAAAAACAAAAAATAATGCCATTAAATACCTGCGTCTATTTGATTTGATTTAAATAATCATATTTTCAAAATGCATTCATTCAAATAGTTTAGAATCAGCATAAATCAGGTCATTGTAAAATAAATTAATAAATATTATATTAAATTCAGTTAAAAAGTATGAACTTAATTAAAATATGGAATACGCAATATTCAGTTAGTTAGATTAAACTTGGATTTATTCATGATAAATATATAAACCATTTTGTGTTTAAAACTATTTCGTTATTTCTGAATGCTAATCTTAAACTTCCAAAACGTTAAAAAAAAAAGTTTTTCTTGGTTATGTAAACAGCAAAGGACCATTCCATTTGATAATTTTATAACCATTATGGGAACGTTACTTTTAAATGTTCTCTGAGCATTCCGAAACAAGTAGTTACATTTAAAGAATGTGTAAATAATGTTTCTATGGTAACATTTTGAAAACATTATGAGAACTCTGAACAAACATTTGATTAATGTTACTGGATAACTTTGCCAGAATGTTCTGAAAATGTGTTTGATTATAAATGGTAAGCACCAAATTTCACCTGAGTGAACATGGGTTTGACATTATTAATGATGCAAGATTAGAATATGTAAATATTAGCATGGCTCTCATTGACAGGTTTCCGAAGGGTCTGACACACACGGAGAGACGTTTAGATTCATTACTATATTAACTCATTAAGCAAAAGTGGAAATGTGAAGTTCATTTAGTTGCTTAGTTAAACTGATTGCGAGTAAAATCAGTGTGAAGAGAGGAATCAGGCGTAGAATGAGCTGGACTGTGGTTCAGAATGACGTTCATGTCGTTTGGCTAATAGTCAAATATGAGCTGACACATGTAAATCATCATGGAGCACATTAACATGAAGTACAGGACAAACCATTCACATCCACAACACTGCATGAGCGACCGATCAAGAACACATTCATTTAAATAGGGATTTGTGTTCATTAATATTATATTATTCATGTGGCTGATGTCAGTGACAGTCCACAGAATATTAAACACAAAAAACACAGAAACTATTTTACATATACACATTTATCTAGCCAAATATGGATGTGATATTTACCATTTAAAATACTGGTTTTCTGTTTTAATATACTTTAAACTGTAATTTATTTCTGTGATCAAAGCTGTATTTTCAGCATCATTACTGCAGTCTTCAGTGTCACATGATCTTCAGAAATCATTCTAATATGCTGATTTGTTATCAATGTTAGAAACAGTTTTGCTGCTTAATATATATTTTTTTGGAACCTGTGATACTTTTTTCTTTTCAGGATTATTTGATGAATAAAGAAATCTTTTCTAACAATATAAGTCTTTATTATCACTTTTTATCAACTTAACACATCCTTGCTGAATAAAAACATTCATTTCTTTCAAAAAAAAAAAACACACAGAGAGATTTATAAAATGTTAGTGATGCCCACTGGCATAACATTAACCAATTACTGATAATCAAAAACACTGTAATAAACCAACATATATTTGGTTTAGGTATAAACATTGAAGATTTTCAGTATGTAAGTCTGATCTCAGCGCTCATGACCGCTGTCTCAAAGCGGCTCCGTGAGGTGAGCGTCAGTGCTGGACGGCAGTGATTGGTTCTTACCGGCCAGCCAATCAGAGCAGGACATCATGGTGCAGGATTATAAACTCTAAATCTGATTGGCTCATGCAGCAGCAGCACTTCCAGGTGATGTGGTGTCAATCAGGTCCTGTGGCATCAGAGGACAGACGAACATCCAGCAGCCCCTGCAGGAGAATCATCTGTCCAAACGCCACAATTACAGTTTTTCTCAATTGCTTTGGCATATTTTTCGAAACAATCTTAACATTCTCTAAACTGTGAGTGCAAATGTCACAACTGTTTGCTGGAACTTCAGAACTTTATTGCATGTCTGCCAACAAGTTATTAGTCTTATTTTTGGACCTACCGGCCCGCCATACACTTCAAACTTCATGATGTTCTTCCAGTGTTTTGTTTGATCTCCCTTTAAAAAAGCAGCTTGTCCTTTCTGGAAAAAGAAAGAAAAAGCTTAAAGCACATTCATGTTGTTCCAAACATGCTTTTTAATCTCTTGTGTATCAGACACACTCATGAAAAAGCAGCTGTATCACATATTGCACAGGCATGACATGAGCATGCACTGTAAAAAAGCAATTGTTGGGAAAACTTAAATTCAACGCATTTCAATTATTTAAATGAAACAATTATTCGTGAAGCTTCGAAACCTTTGTGAAGCATTTGCTCCAAACCAGTAAAAAATTACGTGATTTCAGTAAATGAGGCTTTGGTTACGTTCAATCATTCGCCGCCCTGTGTCGATCTCTGCGAACCCACGAACCATTCCGTATGGCCTTTATCTGTACTTATATCAGTTTTATAATTTTGTAGACATTTTAATGACATATACCATTTGCAGTTGGTTTGTAACATGTGTTTTATTCATGTCTGAACTGAGTTTTAGTTGCTTTTACACCATTTGACCAGCAGGCGTAACGTGGCATTTTGTGTGTTTTGAATCAGCGAATCACTTTGCGACGCAACTGGTTCAATTGATTCCGAAAACCGATTACATTCACTTAAAATTAAAAACTTAACATCACAACACAAAAAATAACAACCAATAATGACAAAACAACAACAAAAGTTTAAAGAAAGTCAGTGAAACAATAATCTTACATTAAAAACAATACAGTAAACGGTGTTACAGAGGTCAGAGCGGCCGACTATTATCAAAAAAACTAATGATTATGCATGCCAGGTCAATGAAGATGCTTAAGGGAAATGCATCTTTATGCAACTTCATGTTCAATTAAACAAACATTTACATTCACTGCAAATGTTAAATCATTTTGCTTTTATCCAAAATGAAGGAAAAAAATAATTGATCACAGAACAAAACATAAAACCTTTAAACAAACATGAAAAATGCAGCCAGAATTCATAATGTAGGAGATCATTTACTTTAATGGATCTATAAATTATGTAAATAAAAATAGCATCAGAAGCCTTCCTTATTTCATATCAAATATTCATTGCATATTTAGGAATGATTCATTATTTATCAAAAGCGCTAGTGGAAAGATTTCTATAAGACAGTAATGATGCGGATTAATGTTATATCATAAATGTTATAAAACATACTGCTTATTGTTACAAGTAATGAAAATAAATTAAATTGAATTGTTACCATTGTTGTAATTCGCATGCTGAATGATTAAGTCTGTGTGTGACTTCAACATATTAACACACACTATTTAAGGATTGTATAAACCCAATTCAAAGCATTGCAAGATATTTATGAAAAATGAAACTTGTAAAAGTTCATTAATAAGCACACACAAAATAAACACACTAATGCTTTAATTATAAGATAGGTCACCTTCTAAAAGCAACCTATTTATTATTTTCTTCCCTTGAAATCAATTAACTGACTTCATGATGCACTGCTGTAATAACAGGAAGAGAATTTTAGTAACATAAACGAAGTTCCAAGTGCCCAACCAAAGGGAACGCTACTCACTATAATGGTGAGTTAAAAAAAAA